AGCTCTCAGCATTCAGGGGATTCAACAAAACAAAACAAAACAAAACATGCCAGCTAAACTGTTACACATCTCATGTCTTAAGAACTTTGAATATATTTCAAGTTTTGCCTTGGCTAGGTTATCTCTTCATTGTATATTGAAAGTCTTCATGAAAGGTAAATTGAATTACCTTATGTGAAAAAATAATTGATAATGAAATAACTGATTCTGCATCAGAAAGTGGTTTCTATGTACATTTCCATTTAAACCACAACTATTTAATGGGAATTAAACATCAGCCTCGGGACTGGTAGAATGAATATATTCCCTTAATATTTCTACCCTTAGTATATAATTTACGTATTTGTGTTTTTCCTTCTAAGTTACTTTTTTGTATATCACTTCTGCACTTGTCCTCATTGACAATGTCAAATACAGCAGCAGATGTCTGGAATTATGCCATATCTTTCCACAGCTTCTCCCTGCACTGGTCTTCACACTCTAGTAGACACACATTGTTTGCCTTCTTGGTCTGCTCTGTCACCTCTCCTATAGGACTACCATAACTGGACCACTAAACTCCAGAGAACCATATACGACAGCAAAATATTAATGCTTTTAAAAAGCATTAACATTTTGCATCCACTTAATGAATGCCCAAACTTTACCAGCCCAAAAGTGGTAGCTCTAATGTTTCGTGGCTGAGATGTGGAAGCAATAAGAATATAAGCAGCACCAACAGATCTGACTGGCCTACAAGGAGTCTGCAGTGGATAGATGGCCTTGATGGACACAAGGAAGATCTGTTACCAAAATAAATGGAACATGAGCCCAGGCCAAGAAAATAATTTGGGGAAATGCCTTAGAAAGCACTCTTCCCCGCATAGCTTCCTGCCTACTTTTATGTGGACTTTTGTTATGATTACTTCTACATTTATTTTTGTCCTGGGGCAAGCACATTCTGACTTGCAAGATTCTGCAGCTGTTCTAATAAAAGTAGCTTAGATTTGCAAGGTGTCTGTTTTTTTTGTCTTGCTGGGGTTGATAGAGTTTACCTGTAGTGAGTCAGAATGATTGGGGCAGGCAGGAAGTGGATAAAACAAGGAATAGTCCGACGTAAGGGAAGCTTCCAACATTTCCCCCCTCTTTTGGCAGCTGCCTATGCAAATTCATACACACACACACACTATTGGAACAGGGTGATAATACTGTAAACCTGAAAATTTCATATATTTTATGGGGGAAGAGGGAGAGAAAACAGAACAATTACATACAGTATAGAAAAATATACAGATGTGTGTGTAAGAGATAGGAAATTTGTATAGATTTGGTGAGTATACATTTAACCAGTGCTTTTTTTGTATTAAAAAAAAAAAAAAAAGGTGCCGGAACTCACACACGTCATACAACCCGCCTTGCCTACCCTACAAGGTTCCATCCAAAAAAGATGCCGGAACTCCGTTCTGGGCGTTCTATGATAAAAAAAAGTTCTTTAGGATAGACAGACAGACATTTAATTGTTTTAAAAATTCCTCATTATTGTCCTTTCTTAAAGTATTTAAATGATCTCAGCTGGGTCAGTTTTTCTATCACTATTCATTCATTCAGTTTAAAATCTCACAACAGTGACTTGTTGGATGACTAATTATGTTAAAAATAAAACAGTCAAGAATAATTATGGGTATTTATACAATGGCAATTGAGGACAACATCCATCTCACCCATCTCAGGTACCCTATGATAAAATTTTGATGTTATGTGATACAGTAGGCTATTTGTGTTTCTCATTATAAAAATATTCATTCATTTATTAATTTATTCAATTTGGATGCCCCCCCCCCCAACTAACTAATTCTGAGATCTGAAGTCTAGAGTAAACCAAGTGACAGGTTTGGATGAAAATAGATTAATTTAGCATCAGTTGGTCTCAGAAGCTAAGCACGGCTGGGTTTGGCACGTATTTGGATGGGAGAATAACACAACTATAGGGCAGATTCACAGGGGAAGTTGAAAATCATCCTAGAAAAAGTTAATGACACAGTGCTTCCATCTGCTGCCAAGAAAACAACATGGAATCCATCTTTTAAAGTCATCAGGAATTTAGCTCAATTCAAAAGAGGCCACCTACCTGTGTAATCCAGATGAAAGTCAGATGTAATTTAAGATGAAAAATATTAAAATACAAAGCAAAACCCTATGGAGAGATATGGAGAAACAGTACCCATAATTTATTCATACTTTGCCCTTTTTTGTTTACAGTATAATTAAAAAAACATTTAGATCTAAGGATATTTATCACACGCTTGCAGCTGTAGACAAATGTCACAATGCTCACTATAGCAAAGAAGAGCAGATGGGACATATTTATATCTGTGGGGAATAAGTGACATACCGCGGTAGTAAGTTTTACATTCTTGGAACTGCAAAATGCATCAAGTAAGCTGTATACCTTGCAACTACCTGAATCTGCCAAAATAATAACATACCCTGCATTTTAGTAAGGCTACTTTGGCTTGTAACTTGCCATGGTTCATAACTTGTTCATTGGGGTATCAGGTATGTACGAATGAGGCTACTTCAGGGGAAAGTATCAGAGAACAGTTTCCGCATGTGGATTGTTGCGTTATGACATTGTGATACTATGCATATTTATGTGGAAGAAATAGGCAGTTGTTTTCCAATAATTATTCCTTATTCCACATGACTTTTTTAAAAAAATAAAACATTAAACATTTGAACTAATGAAAATCATGGGATATTTCTTTCAAGCCTTGATAATTCTTTTGCACAAGTGGCCCAGATTTCAGATCATTTATTTATTCATTCGTTCCTATAGATAGTCCTCGGTTAACAATGGTAATTCGGGACAGAGTTTCTGTCACTAAGCAAGTGCAATGTCATGTGATCACATTGTTTAGTGACAGCAATCCTGTCAATGACCATTGCTGTTATTAACCAAATCCTACCAGTCATTTGGTGAGGATCCATCCCAGTTCAAGCCATACCCAGCTTGGTCCATTCCAGCCCTAGGCCTCAATAAGGTAAGGGACTGCCTCCTCTTGAACCCCCCTCACCTCCCTATCTCCCTGTACCCCTGCCCTTTTGGCCACATGCCTGCTCACTGCCGCCAGCTGCCCCCACCACCCAGCCCTGGTCAGCTGCTGCTATGCCTGCTGCATCACACGGCATATTGTACTGGCCGTGGCTTTTCATACCATCTTCTTTCATGTTGGTGCAGCTGGGACTTCTCTTATGCTGGGACTTCTCTTGTGTGCCGGTAGGGCCTCTGTTTATGCACTAGCCAGGACCTTTGTTCACATGCCAGTCAGGGTCTCCGGTCATGCCCTATCCAGGGCTTGGCATGTGAAAGAAGGCCCCAACTATACCAGCGCACAATGACCTGGCTGGAAGGGTCCTTCTTTTGCGCTGGCATAGCTTAGCTGCTCTTTTACATGCCAGGCTTCTTTTGCACTGGTACAGCTAGGATCTTCTTTCATGTGCTGGGCTTCTTTTGTGAAGGCGGGAGGGGGGGCAAGAGAAGGCCTGAATGCACCAGTGAGAAAGGAGAAGACATGAAAAAAGGCCTCGGCTGGTACAGTAATGGTGTGAGTGTGGCGCTGATGGGTAGGACCGGGCAGCAGGGCAGCTAACAGCAATGGGTGGGAGGGCAGCCAAAAGGTAGTCATAAATGTGGGTGGTCCCAGGTGGTCCTGAATTTTGTTCATGTAACTGTGGAGGTGCTGCAACAGTCAGAACTACAAAGACCGATTATAAGTCCCTTTGTTCGGTAACTTCAAATGGTCACTGAACAATGGATGTTAAGCGAGGATTACCTATAATTGAATGAAATCTGCTACCTATTGGAGCTGTTTTATCTTAACTTTTTGCCTATGGACTACATAGCATGGATTTAGTTTCTTTCTCTGCCATAGCTGTTGATATGCATCTGTATGTGAGTATGTGTGCATTATATCTTTACATTTCTGATTTTACAATAGCTTCCTCCCTACTTTTATGTGAACTTTTGTTATGATTACTTCTACATTTATTTTTGTCCTGGGGCAAACACAAAGGAAACAACATAGAGCTTTATTAGATAAACCAACCATGCACAACACTCACAGCTGCTTGAGTGATTTGCTAGGAACCCAGGAGATTTGCTTGCATAAACATTTGCATAATTTTTTTAAAAAACTGCATACAAACATATGGATACAAAGTCTATTTGTTATGTTAAAAATGATAGGTAGAATAATAGTTATTTCTCTCATGAGAGTGAATGAATGACATCTTCTGTGAGTTATAGCAAGAGATACCAAAGGAATCCAAATTGATGCAAGCTACACTAATGGGAAGAACATTAGCCTTATTTTTCATTCCCAGGAAAACGTTTTTATTAAAATACAGCTTAATAGAAAATGCCTCGTTAATTTGCAATTGTTAAATTATATTGGACATTAATAAATATAATAATATATTTGTTCAGGAGCAAAAAAAGTACTATGTGGGTCTTTCCTCTGGCTGAGTATGCATTGTGTGGTTTAAGCTAATGAATATCTAGGAAAACAGAAATTATTTTAGGACTTATAACTTTTTTCGTTTTAATCCAGAATCATCACAAATAGAGAGGGGTTTTCAAGGATTAAGATAGGAATGTTTAGATGATTTTTTAAAAGAATAAAAATTAATTGCTTATTAATTTTCTACCCTGCCAACTAAGGAGACCAGGTTAGTGTATAAGAAGTTAACAACATAAGAATCTGACTTGATGATAAGTCAGAATATTGTTCCATTTAGCTCAGTGAATGTCAGCTGTTCTCCACAGTGAACAGTCTCCAAGTCTTGTCTTGAGATCCTAGATATTGAATCAGAGGTATTTTGTGCAAGGAACATACCATTGATCTGGAGATTTTCATCAGAAGAAAGCAACTCAGGCAATCAAATTTATAATAGAATGAGAAAGGAGAATCTTAAAAAGAGAGAATAATTGCTTAAAGCAGATCTTTTTCTTCTTTTTCTAGTCTCCCAGCAAGGTGAAAACCAAAGACGGCTGTATCGAGAACTACTGAAAAATTATAATCGATTGGAACGGCCTGTTGTGAATGACTCACAACCTCTTGTAGTAGAACTTCAGCTTTCATTGCTGCAGATAATTGATGTGGTAAGTTATCTATAACCCAGTTCCCTTCTCCTGAACCAATGATAAACTATCACACATTTTAAACCAATCATGTACATAAAAATATAAGAATTTGACAGAGCAGCCCAGTCCACTCTATTTTCAAGACATGGCAACTGTGAAACCAAAGATCCAAAAGAGCGATCAAGATAATCGTGATGGATAGCCCAATCTTTGATAAATTTGGTCCTCCGTTTAAAAGCATCCAAACTGGAAGCTGTTATCATATCTGATGATAGCAAATTGTCCCATGTAACTATCTGTTCTGTAAAGAATTGCTTTCTTTTATCCATCTGGAATCTCTATTTAGTTTCAGTGATTGAGTTCTAATATTATGAAAGAAAGTGAAGGACTCTCTAGCTACATTTCCCATTCTGGGCATACATTTTTATATCATTATCAACTCTCCCTTTATCTGTTTTAAGACTAAAGCTAAAAAGACACTGTAGTCTTTTTTCATGCAGTATCTATTCTAGCTCCCACATAATGTTGGTTGCCCATTTTTGCTGCTTTTCCAAGTGTACAATACAATGTTTGAAGCGTGGTAGCCAAGAATGAACACAGTATTTCAACTAAAGTGGCACCATTGATTTCTACAACATGATATTGGTTGTTTTAATTGCCATTTTTATTATTAATGATTGTAGCATGGGAGTTATCTTTTTATAGTGGCCACACATAAGAATTGAATTTTTATCGAGCTATCCATGATGACTTCAAGATCCTTTCCCCAATTAATTGCTGCCAGTTCGGATCCCATTAAAGTACAATATATGTGAATTTTGATGTATAGTTTTTGGACCAGCATTGCGTAGAAGAGCATTTGTCATTCTGAACCCCATTTGCCTACTTTGGAGAGATCTAGACTCTACAAAATCCCTTCTTATTTTAATACCTTGAAAGATTTGGCATTACCAGCAAATGTGCCCAGCTTACTAGTCATTCCTGATTATTTATAGACAGATTAAAACCCATCATACAGAAGGACAACATTTTCATGTCTTTCCTGGGTAAAATTGTTCATCTGTTCCTATTTTTTATTTCCTGTTCTTTACCTAACTATCCGTTCACAAGAGCATATCTTCTTATCCCATGCTGCTGCATTTGCTTATTTATTTCCAGTGAGGGATTTTGGCAATGATCTTTTGAAACTGTAAATTTCAATTTATGTTAAATTTCCTATGCCTGCATGTTTGATCACACGTTCAGAAAACTCTATAAATTAGTGAAACAAGATTTCCAGAAGCTTATGTTATCTTCAGCAGGGTTTAGTTTTATGTATATTTATTTTATTTTACATTATCCTATCGTATGTTGAACAAACATTAAACTAACTAACTTGTAATTTAATAATAAGATTGCAATATAACATGATGGCGAACCTTTTAGAGACCGAGTGCCCAAAAACTGGCCTCGCCCCACTCCACCCCCTGCCCCGCCCCCACTCCTCCCCCCACCCCCTGCCCCGCCTGCCGCAGGGCCACTCACCGCCTCCAGGGCCCGCCGCAGATCGCCCAGGCAGCCCAGCAGCGTTATGGCGGTCATACCCTCTGCCCGCGCCCTGCAGCATCAACTGTGCACGATGGGGTGTGAGGGCAGAGCCTTGTATACGCTGCCTGGCTGTCATGTCCCTGGCTGCGCTGCTCCACGTGGGCCACGCTCAGGGGCAACTCTCCTTCAGGGGGGCTGCTGGAGAGGAGGGGGTCACAGGGGGAGGCGAGGCTGGGGCAACAGCACGTGTACCCACAGAGAGTGCCCCGAGTGCCGCCTCTGGCACCCGTGCCATAGGTTCGCCACCACTGCAATATAATATTATTCCAGTATTGGTTGATCTGAATAAATCTGTATCAGGACATTGAGATAGCCCTTTTTCAAGAACAGGTATTCCACAGCAAATTTGTATCATTTATACTATTGTAGTAAATTTAAAGAATGGCAAATAATGTCTTTTTTCCTTAGTAGTGGAAAAGGAAAATCTCATTGAGAGCTAAATGTGTTCAAGATTCTTACCATGTCATTATTTTCTGTGATGGCAGTCATGTATAATGAGATTAATATTTTTTCATGTTTTTCTTAGACTGTGAAACAGGAACAATGAATTTCTTGCTTCCGAATATTGCTGGACAACTGTTACTTTAAGTTATTGTTGGACCCATCACTCTTACCCACGCTAAAGCAATCTGGGGTGATGGAAGTTGCAATCCAACATGCAGCGCTATAATTTTTTTTCCTGTTCTATATTCATAAGGGAATTTATGAGCATGCTTGGAAATATTTGCTTGTATGTTGATGCTTCTACTAAAAATCTATCTATAAGAAATTACTCCTGGATAATTTGGTTGGCTGATTTTACCAATTTACCCATCACTATTGAAAGCATGGAATATCAATGAATTTGCAGCAATTCTGCTTCCTGACTCCATCTTTTTGAGAAAAATAAAAGGAATATGGAGGATTACAGTATGTAAAATGTTTCAGTTTAAACCTCAAGTATTTGGAAGTAGTTCAAGCTCGGAAGATACCTTCTTTTTGCACTTAAAACAGCTGTTTCATGCTTGAAATGTGGTGTCCTGAATTTTAATAGATGTTTTAGGACTCATGGTCTGTGCATTTCTAAAATGGTTCAAGAATAAGGGAAAGCCTAGTGATTTCAGAGCTTAAAGGACCTCTCCTGATAGGCAGTATACTGTTCCTCTCTTACAATGTGGTTATTTTTGCAGGTGAGGCAAAATGATTACAATGGATTTTGAGGCTCTTATTGTTAAGCTTCATTTTGTTGATTTAATGACAAGTCTGTGTGGAGTTGAGAGCCTGAGGGCCTGGCCTATTAACTTATTAGCAACTTGTTAAGGAGCTTTTGCAAGTGAGCCATGAATTAGCTTCAACCAAACTACTCCATCTTAATCACTTTGTCTATGCTTTTGCTTGATATAGCCATTGTTAGACTCAGCAGTTAGCTGGCACCTACTTTGACACTTATCAGAAGAAGCTAAAGAGGCTAACCACAAACACCTCAGTTATAGGAAATGTTAATCTGTCTGGCAGATGGTAGCTTTATAATGTGCTGAAGAATTTTGCAAGGAATAAGGAAAGACAGTGTGGCATTTAGCTTAAGCTGTGCTCATGAATGTCCAGGCAAAGGTGTGGAGGTGAAAAGTTCCATTGTTAGCATGTTAAAAAAACACACCCAGAGGTGGAGAGCTTAGCTAATTAAGTACATCCCACGTACTAGCCTAAACTGTGCATGTCTTCAATGAATCAGAAACAAGTGATGAGATGTCAAGAAATTCTGATTTGTATATTTGGTTTTTGTGATATAAAAACAGCTTGTTGAACATCGTTTGATTTGGACGTGGATCCTGAGTGTGCATCTCTACAAACCTATAAAGAGTAAAAACCCAGTATAAAAATTAAAAAAACAAAAACAAAAAACAATAACCCCCTCCCTCTGGTGACAACACACAGTCAAATGAGCCACTTTATGGGCTCCATCCCACTCTGAGTTCCCTAGGCTCGTTGGCAAAACCAAGTCTTCAGGACCTTACAGAATAGTGTCAAAATGGGGGCCAGTCTAATTTCTGCAGGGATGATGTTCCATAGGGAGGCAGCCACCACGTAAAAGGCTGTTCTTCTGGGTCCTGCCTGATGTACCTCTTTAGGGGATGGAACCTGCAACATTTCTTGCCTCCCCACTCTGGGCAAGTGAGAGATAACCTGGTCCCAAGCCATGAAGGGCTTTAAAGGTGACTTTAAATTAACTATAAGTCTGTCTCATTGCTACAAAGAATGATGGCAAATTGTCTGACAATACAAGAAACCAGTTGCTCATATTTAAAGAATCATTGTGTCTTCTTCATTGGATACCACAATGTTAGTCAATAGTATGACAAATGAGATAATCTATTCTAGGAAAAGCCAGATATTTATCCTTATCTCTGTTCTGTATTTATTATGTAACCCAACAGTGTGGATTGGTACCAAGATGAGTTGTACATATCGTTCCAAGTCACCTCATTTGAAAGAGAAACACCCATCTTGAAGGGCTCTGTGAAGATCAGAAATGAAAGCCGTGAATCCTTTTTAACCACTATGCATATTAGATCTAGATGGACACTCATCAGTTCCTAATACCCTTTTTGAAAGTAGTTGATCTGATTAACTGATTTCCATTGCAAATGGTTATCGGCCTGAATTTTATCTCTTCACTAGGCTTCTGTCTAATTGTAATTGAGGACCAAAGGGACCTCAAGGTGTTTCCCAGAACGTTAACACATGGCTTTATTGCTTTGGAATGCTGACTATGACTCTGAAATGGGCAGGTATCCCTGATGTTTCACAAGTAATTTGTTGATTAATTATGAACCATTTTACAATTTTAGGCAGAAGCGTCATGTATATTGAAATAAATTATGAGGCATGTGTTCCTTATAAATGATTCATCAGATGCTGTTCCCATAGGTTTCTGCAAGGCTATAATTGTAGGTGGTGTGCATTGCTTCCTTTCCAATTGTTTAAATTGCTTAGCTGTAAATGGGATGGCTATATACAATTAATAAGCAATGTAATTAGCAAAAATAGGCAGTGAGAAAGGATTATAAAATGAGAACTATTTTGGTCGACTGTACTATTAGATATCTTCACTAATAGTTATAGATTATTGATTACTTCTGAAATAATGCAATAGTCATACATTTTTATTTTTGTTTTATTACTATTGTTATTAGTAATGGGGTGGCGCAGTATCTCAGTTGTTAAGACACTGGGCTTGTCAGGTGGAAAGCCGGCAACCCAGGTTCAAGAGAGCCACGCGACAAGGTGAGCTCCTGTCCTTGCCTCAGATCCTGCCCACCTAGCAGTTTAAAAGGATGCAAATGCGAGTAGATAAATAGGTACCACTTCAGTTGGAAGGGAACCGCATTCCATGATGTCATGCTGGCCACATGACTGCAGAAATACCTTCAAACACTGCTGGCTCAATGGCC